CACACACACACACACACACACACACACACACACACACAAACATGGTTGAAATATGAAACAAAACATAGTATGATTTCGAGAAAATGAAGAAAAGTAGGAAATCTTTTGTTTGGGAAAACAATGTCCACTGGTCAGTTAGTTCTGGAAGGAAAAGAGAATTAGGTGATACTCTGAATTAATGTATAATCATTATATAAGAAATATGGGACATAATCACTTCTCTACAATGTTACTTAGCTGAAAGACATTCATCATTTTCATAAGACATTCTGATTATCAAAAAAATGGAAAAAATTGTTGGCAAGATGTAGAGAAACTAGAACCCTCATATATTGCTGGCGGGAGTATAAAATGCTGCAGCCCTGTGGGAAAGAACCTGGTGGTTCCTCGAAAAGTTAAAGAATTACTATATAACCCAGCAATTTTATTCCTAGGTATATAACTAGAAGAACTTAAAACGAGTACCCAAATAAGCACATGTACACACAAATTCATAGAAGCACTATTCACAATAGCTAAAAGGTGGAAGCAAACTGAGTATTTATATTTATATATACAAAGTAATACTATTCAGCAATGAAAAGGAATGAAGTACCAATACATGCTATAATATGGATGAACCTTAAAAACATTATGAGAAATGAAAGAACCCAGAAATAAAAGAAGTCACATACTGTATGGTTCCATTTAAATGAATATTCAGAACAGATAAATCCATAGAGACAGAATGCAGATTGATGAATACCAGGGACTGGGAGGAGGGCAGAATAAGGAGAAACGACTTAAAGTGTAAAGTGTTTTACCTTGGAGTGATAGAAAAGTGTGAAACTAGAGACAGGTGGTGGTTGCACAGCATTGTGAATGTACTAAATGCTACTGAACTGTTCACTTCACTTTATGCTATATAAATTTCACCTCCATAAATTATTTTGAAATAAAAACATTCTGCTTTTAGATCAGTCATTTCCTATTTTATTTCCAGAGTATTTAAATTTCTATAATCTTTAACATTGAAAGGCTCTTAGAAAATATTTATGGTTTTGAAAAAACATTTATCTGAGGGTCACTAATCATTTAAGCTACATTTCAATTTTTGTCCCCTCTGTTAAATTTAAGTAAAATTTTTAAAAGTAGGTTATATTTTTTTTTAAATGTCACATCAGTTCATCTCTATATGATAAAATTAAGGATTTTTTTTGTTTCTTTTTATATTTTGTATTTTGTTCTTCTCTAATGAGGTGTATAATTGACCTCAATATAATGTGATAAAACTGTAACATAGCTAATGTGTACATCATGATGATTTGATTTACGTATAAATTGTGAAATGATTCCCCCATCCAGTTATTTAACACAACCATCACTACACATATGTATTTTTTTTCTTTTTTGATGAAGATATTCACATTCTACTCTCTTAGCAAATTTCAATCATATAATAATGTTATCAACCATAGTCACCATATTATATATTACATTTTCAGACCCTATTCATCTTATAGCTGAGAGTTTGTAACATTTTGCCTACCTTGCCATATATTTCACATATTCCCCCCAGCTCATGGCAATTATTTTCCACTCTCTGTTTCTATGAGCTTGACTCTTTGTTTTTCTCTTTTATAATAAATTCTACATGTAAGTGATAATGCAGTTATTTCTCTTTCTCTGTCTGGCTTAATGTTCTCAAAGTCCATCCATGTTGTCACAAATGGCAGAAATTTCTTCTTTCTCGTGTCTGAATAATATTCCATTGTATATATATTACGTATCTTCTTTATCCATTCAATCACTGATGGACACTTAGGTTGCTTCCGTATCTTGGCTATTGTGAATAATTCTGCAATAAACATGGGAGCTCAGATATATCTCTTTGATATCTTGTTTTCATTTTCTTTGTATATATACCTAGAAATAGAATTGCTGGGTTATATGGTACTTCTATTTTTAATTTCTAGCAGAACCCCATACTGTCTTCCATAGGGCTATGCCAATTTACATTCCAAGAGTACATAAGGGTTCCCTTTTCTCCATATCTTCACAAACACTTGTTATCTTACCTTTTTGATGAAAAATATTATGACAGGTGGGAAGAAATACCTCACACAGTCATTTTGAGTTGCACTTAGTGATGATTAGTGATGTTGAGCACCTTTTTATGTATGTTGGCCATCTGTACTTCTTTTTAAAAATGTCTATTCAGTTCCTCTGCCCATTTTTTTATTCAGGCTGGGGTTTTTTTTGCTATTAAGTTATATGATTTTCCATATATTTTGAGTATTGCCTCTTATTAGATGTGGTATTCAAACGTTGGTGAGTTTGGGCATTCTTATCTTATTTCTGATCTTAGAGGAAAAGCTTTCAGCTTTTCACCATTGAGCATAATGTTAGCTATGGGCTTGTCATATACAGCCTTTATTATTTTGAGGTACATTCCCTCAATATCCAGTTTGGTGAGAGTTTATATCATAAGTGGGTATTTTTTGTCAACAGATGCTTTTTCTGCATCTATTGAGATGATATGATTTTTTATCCTTCAATTTGGTTTGTTGAGGGTTTTTACAGCTGTGTTCATCAGAAATATTGGTCTGTAGTTTTCTTTTCTTGTAGCATCTTTATCTGGTTTTGGTATCAGGGTAACACTGGCTTCATAAAATGGTTCTGGAAATGTTCCCTCCTCTTCTATTTTTTTTGGAAGAGTTTGAGAAGAACTGGCGTTAATTCTACTTTAAATGTTTAATAGAATTCACCAGTGAAGCATGTGGTCCTGCACTTTTGTTGGGAGACTTCTGATTACTGATTCAATCTCCTTACTAGTAATTGCTCTGTTCAGATTTTCTGCTCCTTCTCGATTCAGTCTGGGTACACTGCATATTTCTAGAAATTTATCCATTTCTTCTAGGTTGTCCAATTTGTTGGTATAACTATTCATAGTAGTCTCATGATCCTTTGTATTTTTGTGGTGTCAGTTGTAATGGCTCCTCTTTCATTTCTAATTTTAAGTCCTGTCTTTTTTCTTAGTATGCTTAGCTAAAGGTTTGTCTGTTCTATTTACTTTTAAAAAATAATGAACTTAGTTTTATTGACATTTTCTCTTGGTGTTTTAGTCTCTATTTTATCTATTTCCGTGCTCTTTGTTATTTCCTTTCTTCTATTAACTTTGTTCTTAGTTTGTTCTTTTTTTTTTCTCTAGTTCCTTGAGGTGTAAAGTTAGGTTGCTTATTTAAGCTTTTTTTCCCCCTTAATGTAGGTGTTTGTCACTATGAACCTCCCTCCTAGAACTGCTTTGACTGCACTGGACTAGAGATAATTTTTATCTTCTTTTACTTTTCTATATACACTAAACTTTCTAAGACAACAAATTACTTTTATAATCAGAAAAAAAAATGCTTATAATTTAGTAAAAGGATAAAAATGTTAAATAAAATGGGAATGGGTACTAGAAAAGACCACTTTGGGAAAGTATCTGCATTATTCTAAGATGATATAAAGGGCTTAAAAATGTTTTCAATCAAGAATGATTTAAGGGCATCAGCATGCACACAATTTACACAGATAGAATGAACAAAGAGAGAAAAAAGAAATATGCACCTTACCATAAAGGGATGATTCTATCAAAGATTACCCCCTTTCAAATTCTGAGATCTAATGATATGCACCTATGTTTTTACTATAGAGCCAAGTAAGTGCTCTGAAGCTTCCCAGCAGTCACCCAGTTCTTTTACCAAACCATCTGATAGCTTGTAGTGAATGGAGAGAGAAAAATGAGAAGAACAGAGGATACAGGATAAAAAGCAGCTTGACTGAGACAGAAAACAAACTGCCTTATTCCATTTACTTTTCCAACAAGGTAGTCATAAAACAATACAAATGACCTAAAGTATGGTTTTTGAAATTGCAAAAGTGAACCATTATCGGATAGGGAAATAAAAATAGCTGTAAGCACTAGTAAATATTAAATAAAATATACAAAAAAATAGAATAGAGCACAGCATACATTCCAGATAGTTAGTGTAAGAACTGTTTCAACTTTTGTTTATTTCATTTCTAAATTTATACCTGTGGAAAAGGGTTCATAAATGTATATTTTATATCTTACTACAGGTTGTGATAAAAAAGAAAAAAAATGTAAATGCTACCTATCTGAGAGACCTTCAACACTTAAATTCAATCATTCTAATTTTGCTACTCCTTTAACAAATTTAATGAACGTCTGAAGGCAGGGAGGTAGAAAGGTAAGGAGGAAAGGAGGAAGGGGGAGGAGGGTGGGAGGGAGGAAAGG